GGACGGGGACGGGGCACCGGGAGGTGCTGGAGGGGAGTGTTCCGAAGAACAACTTGGCGACCGCTTCAAAGACGCCCTTCTGAGCAACCCCGTCCCGCCCCACCCCACCACCACCCCCTCCCGCAGCCCGCCCGGGGGCGATTCGATGAGCTGCCGCGCGGCTCAAAATGCTTAGAACAGCGGGCAATCTAAAGTCTCTCCGGGCAAAAGAGCGTAGGAGAGGCGGGGCAGGGCGGGGCAGTAGGGCGGACTAGAAAAGCCAGCCTCAATATCGCAGTCATGCTGGCCGATATAACCGGGGGCCGTCGCGAGGCTGCGCCCGGCCTACTCCCGCCTCCCGCTGGATCCCCTGCAGCCGCCACCTCCCGCGGGACCAGGGCGCGGCCAGCCCCCCAGCCCAGGCTCCAGCGACACGACCAGTGACGGGTCTCCTCAAGCCCTTCGCGCGGGCTTATTTCCCAGGGGCCGAGGTCGAACGCTCCAACGTCAGACATGTCAACGAGCTCGTCCCGTCCCGCCGCATGGCTGCCGCATGGCCCCGCGCCGCACCCACAGGACTGTCAAAGCGGTTGTCGCCCAAAGTCGTCACCAAGATTGCCCCCGGCCCCGCGCACCCTTGCAAGGACGAGGACCCCCCTGACCGCCGGGACACGACTCAGCCACGGCCTCGGCACACCAACCACGACACGCCTCGACAGCTAGCGCCTAGCAGCGAGCTACGTAGCTATAGACGCGAGCTAGACTTCGACAAGTAGTGGAAGGATGGTCGCGGTAGACATTTAGCTCGCTTAGCTAGCTCTTTCTAGGCCTCTGCACTGGAAACGCAAGTGTGTAAACGTCGGTAACACTTCTTGTAGGTGAGTGCGCATTCGTGCACTGAAAGTAAAGGTGTGGAATTTTCCTTTTGAATTACACACACGTGAGCTGCATGCGTACGCGAATGGCATATATTCACGCGCCTACAAGTGTGCGGCGTTCACACACTTGGGACTTCATAGTGTACTGGAAAGCTCGCCTAGGACGGCCCTGATCGCCTCTCACTCGCTCACCTTGCAGATCTCGGTGGCCACCAGGAAGCTGAGGCGGCTGAACCACTCCTCGTACGCCTCCTTGCTGCGCGTCTTCCTGAAGCCGCCGCCGTTGGTGGCAGAGGTGATGGCGGGCTCCTCGCCGCCGCCGCTGCTGCCCAGCCCGCGCTCCTTCATAAAGGCCAGCACGAACTCCTCCGGGCCGATGTGCGACAGCCGCTCCAGCTCCACGTGCGTCAGCTGGTGGGCCAGCTTGGTGGGCGTGCGCGCCAGGTCCATGACGTCGCTCTGAAAACAAGACAACAACAACAATCAGGACAAAATATATAAAGAAAGAGTGGCAAGCCGGGGCACTTGTATTTTCTTTTTCAAACTAGGCACACACAAATAGGTACACACACGTACACTCTGTCAATAGTGTACACAATCTACTGACAGTTTTTTTTCAATATTGTTAGTTTTTTTTCTGAGCGAAGCGAGCACTAATTCAGGCTGCGTCGCGTTCAGACGAATGTGACACACAATGGTCCAATGAATGAAACACGTTTCTCGTGGAAACGAATGTGACGTCACATTCCTCAAATAACAGTGTGCCGTGCCGGCGAGCAGGCGTGCCCGACGAGTCTGCATGTGGCGCTCGGCAGGGCGCTCGAGAGGCCGCGTGGCCAGAGGCCCCAGGCTGGTCCAGCCGACTGATTCAGAAAAGCGTTACACCGAGCGATCCCTCTCCAGTGTGACGGCGGTGCCCCATGAGTGCGACAAGAGCGGAGGTATACGTATGCGACCTTAGTGCGAAACAGTCCAACAGGCGGAGAGGGAGGGAGAGGAAGACAGAGGGACGGAGAGAGAGAGAAGAGGGAAAGTGAAAGAGAGGGATGGAGGGAGGGAGAGAGAGAGG